CGCTCTCATTAAAGCACCACCCCCACCCCACAGCACATGTAAAGATGCCTGTTATTATAAAGAATGAGTCAATATGCCTGTTATTATAAAGAATGATTCAACTATTATGCAGTTTATTTACTTTATCCTTATTCTTAAGCTTGATTGTAAAGTGGTTGAGTTGTCAAAATAATAAAACATCTGCTGTTAGAAGAAATTTCTCATCTATATTTTCATCATGTTTGAAACAGTTTTATTTAAATCTGAACCCTTCACACATCAGTTTTACAAAACTACCTGAAAAGTTACCAGGCCTAGAATTGCAGAAGTCTGGCACTGGCTTTATTAGGTACAACTTGAGAATATCATCTCTCTAAATAGAAGTTTTACCAAAACTCCCACGCATTTCAAAAAGTTCAGAATTTCATTCCATTTCATTTGTGTCATGGTAGTCCATATAGACAAGGAAATCTATCTATTTTCTCATTTTATTAGTGCTGAAGATCTTGAAGCAGTCTCCTAATGATAAACAATGGTGTGGGATGTACATTAGTGGAGATGCCGACAGTTTGGCACAATTAGAAAATTGAGCAAGATGTGGTCCTAAACCACACACTTCCTTCCATAGAAGCATAGAGAGGTTAATACATTTTGTAGGACCTTCACCTATAAGTTTTTGCTTTAACTTCTATGGAACCACGAGTCCCTCCCACTAGTTATTTAGGACCTTCCCGGCTTGCTTCTTTAGTATTAATAAACAAAAAAAGAGCTACATTTTGAACTACCTTTCAGAAACAATTGCAAAAGTTTACATAGCAAACCCAGAGCTTATTTCAGTATCTTTTGCCCATGTCATGTTAATAATTATAGCACATTTAAATTCTATCAGTAAAACATTACATATATACAACAAAACTTAACAGTATGTAAATTATGAAAATAAATATATTAATCCAAGACTAAATGGTACCAATTATCCAACCAATCACTCATATTATCCAAGCATTTTTATTTAATAACTAATAAGAAATCAAGTTACTCAAAAAAAACCAAATTGTATCAAAGCACATTCTAAATACAGATGCTTAGTCTCATTCATGAAATAGGCATGGCACTTTGACTTCAGAGGCAGTTAGCAAAGTTTATAGCATTATAATCTACATTTTATAAAGGAACTAATCTTCAATTTAAAATATTAAGCAGCATTTAGTAAGCTTAGCCTTTAAACGTAGGAAATTATCTACAGTCTAATGCACATATTCTTCTGAATTGCACACACGCCGAAGGAAACTCAGAATTTATTTGACAGAATAACTGTCTCATCTGCCTGAATGTACATTACACAAGTCATGAGTCCAATTAAATTATAAAGTAGCTAATATGGATTTTGGCAACTTCAATACCTAATCAAATTCAAGCCTGTAAGCCTTGAAGCCTAAGACTTTAATAATGCTAGTGCACTAGAACAGAAGATGGCAGATATTCCCATGTGCAAAAAAAACCCCCAAAACAAAAAAACCCTATCAAAAATAGTGAGACTGTCTGAACTGTACCTCTGGCCATTAAAATTAAGACAGTTTTCTGTTTGTTTTTTTCCTAAAAGAACAGGAATTGCCAAACTATAGTTCAAAGGATCTCCAGTAACCTGGAGTGCTTGCTGGCAAGTCCGTGATGACGAGACAGTGGTAGGATGTTGTCCATAAAGGCCTCTTCTCTGGAAGATACCTCCCCTCCACTGATCTGCCACAACATGGCTTGAGGAAACTTTCCACTCATATTGTCAAAGATGTCTTCTCTCAAACATTTAGGAAGGGCTGATTACGTGCAGATTGTGAAACTGAGGAAAATTATTATTATTACTATTAACAACCTAAACTTAATGTTAGTTGCATATTATAGTCAATTTTTTTATTGCTCATTAATTAAAGTTATTGATGGAGCAATCAGAAGCCATTGTTTGGCCCTTTTTAAAATATAAAAAATGCAAGTAAGTTATAGTTCATTTATAGATCAATTCCAGTGTCAACTAGAGGCATAAGTCTTAATACTTTCCTGTCAGACAGGAAATAAGCCATAGATATAAGCCATCTTTATTCCAAGCATATACATCAGACCTTAGTTTCAATTATTTCTTCCCTACTGCATGGTAATGTTTGCAAAATAAAAATTATTTATATTAAAAGTGATGACATAACCCAAAGGCTAAGCCTAATTGGAGTGTTCCCTGTTCAAAAAAAAAAAAAAAAAAAAAAAAAATCACTTGTCCCCCACAAGTACTATTCGTTAAATCAATTAAAATGTCAGTCAAAAGAAAATTACTAGATTGAATGTGCTCAAGTCCCATTATGCAACACCACATTTTCAAGTGGAAAACACACATAATCAACTTGTCCATGGCCACAAGTCTGTAGCAAACCCAAGAATAGTAAAGGAAAGTTATGCCAGTAATTCTGAAGTCCTTTACAAACAGGTCCCCTTCTTCCTGCAAACAAAATGCATGTCCTAGAAAGTATGTCCTAGCAACCACATGCATCTCATTATAAATCAGAGCCAGGAGGGTATGATCTACTCTAAACACTACAGATCTTTTCAGGTAAAGAAAAATATGCCAGCAGCATTCTCAGGAAGAGCTATGAGAAGAAGAAATGAGATGGGCAAAGGTGGAATAGGGTACAGACTTGAAAGTGATGCCAAGAAGTTAGAATCTAATGAGGAAGGCAAGGGAAAGCCAGCGAAGGAATATAGAGGAAGGAAGCAAGAAAGGCATCCACAACAGCAGTCTTTGAGAGAAATGTGCAGGAGACTGTGATAATACGGAGGCCTAAGAGAAAGAGTGGTGTAAGCAAGATAAAGAGAGCTTCAAAAGATTTCATAACCCTGATTAGTAATTAAGATGTTCCAAGTTCATATTCCATGCTCAACCAGAGGTGTTCAACCTCCAGTCCAAATCTGGTCCCTGACACTGGGTCATTTGGCTTGCACAGCTGTCCATGGATCTGTGGGGGAGCCCCATGGCTATGGCCCTGCCTCGGGGACCAGATCACACAGGGCCATACAGGACAGAGCAGGGCCCAATCCACACCATTCGTCTGGCCCATGGAGCCAAAACCATGAGCACCACTGTACTAGACTACTAAAATTCTTATCAAATCACTCTGATAAAACCAACATCTTTCATCTTCTTGGAACATGCATTTATACAAATGAGCAGCTTGGTTAGATTTGGTGCACCTTTTCTGCGTTTACTAATCCTCTGGAGGTCCAGGATGAGGCCAGAAACAATGCTCACACAGCTGCATATGCAAGCCTTTAAACTTTTTCCTTCCCTCAAACCACTGTCAGCATTACCTGAAGGGGAAGAGTTAAAATCTTTCCAATAAAACTATGAATCATTAATTATTGACCTATGCCATCATAGAAAAAAATAACTCTTTCAAATCTAGTTTATTAGCCCCTGGCATATTGCCAGCATCTGGAAAACTCAGCAAAAGCTTGCTTATGAATTGTCTCTGGAGAAAAAGAGTTTAACTTCCCAATTAAAAATATATATTTATTTTTAATCTGATTTCCAGGTTTAAGTGATTAGATGTAATTGTATCATTTCAAATATTTTTACTGGCAAAAAAAAAGAGAAAGAAAACTTAAATATCTAAAGTCATTTTGTGGATAAATGCCCTTAAAGCCCTTTTCAATCTTACTTTCTAAAATCTAGGGCAAACTTAATGAGGGTCTTATGAAAAGGCCCAATTCCACTTCTCTTTGCAAAAGCTAACTCCATAAGCACAACTGGTAACAATTCACTTTACATGCTCATTTTACATGGGCAATTATCAAGTCAACTATAAGCCCTTCCCTTCCAAAATAAGAGACCTCCCCATAATCCAGAACAGACCATAATTTGAGAGACTGTTAGGGGCAGGAGGCATTTTAAATGACTTTTCTCTCAAAAACTGAACTTGGGTAATCCTGCTCCACATCTGAACTTTGAAAATGTGTCAGCCTGAGAAATAAAAGTTGGCTTGAATTAGCTTCCAAGTTCACATAAACATCATCTTCCTTTTCCTTGAACTGAATAATCTACAAGCAATTTATTTAACGAAGCTCAACAGAAAATGTGGGCGCGTCCACATATGCAAGCACGCTTGCAGCAGCTCAAATAGAAGCAGTGCAAATTTGAGCCGGGGCTTTTTGCTTCAGCGCACATGCTCAGACATGCACTTTGTTGTGGAGCAAATTGTGCCACTTGGGGCAAAATAGCCCTGCCTGGCTCCTCCCAGATCTGCAGCCAGGGGAGCTAGATCCCGGGCCCAGCACCTGTGCTGCCCCCAGCAGTATAAAAAGCTGCCCTGGCAAGTAGCTCAGGGCTACTAGCTCTCAGGAGCTTCTAGGCCCCAAACAACTGATACCTGGGGACACTACACCTTGTGCCAGCTGGACTGCTGAAGCAGCCCTAAGAGTTCCCTGCACCCTCTACCCACTGCAATAGTCTGACAGTGGGGACTGCTGCCTGGTTGTGACCTGGCTGTGGGGACTGCACAGCTAGTAGAGGCATCTGCCCCTCTGGGCCAGCTGCCAGTGGATTGTGGTTGCAGGGTTGGCCTCTGTGCAGCACTACTGCCATGTGTGCCCCCTGCCCAGCCATGTGGGCAGCTGTTGCCCGGAAGATGTTCCAGGTGCAGTGGCCTGCTTTGAACTGCCAAAGCATGTCCTCCTGGCCCCATTTGGCCAGGAGGTCAGCAACAGCCACCTGGGTCCAAGGTACCAGCTCTGAGCAAGCAGTATCCTGCCACTGGTCTCCCTAGCAGGAATTCTGGTGTTCCCTATTGGAAAACTGAAAAATCCCAGATAAAAAAAAAATCCCAAAGTCACTCTGTAAAATACCCCCAAATCCATGTTCCTCCACAAGTAAAACAAAAGACCACTATAAAGAGAGAGAGAGACACAGAGAGAGACAGAGATCAGTTGGACAACGTTTTATTGATATATCTTACAATGTTAAAGCAAGTCTCTTATAATAAAGTGAACTCAAAATACACGTTTCATGAATTCATGAATACATATTTTGCTACCCTCCCACAGGGGCAAATGGCCCCCACACAGAGGTTATGGCCCTCCCAACAGGGGGTGCAACCCCCCCACAAGAGTTGCAAATGGCCCCACAGGGGCTACCACCACCCCCTGCAAGGCCCACATGCCCAAACCCCAGCCCCCTGATTGCTGTCCCACCCAACCCCAGGTACCATCACTTTAAAAAAAAAAAATCAGAAGAAACCCCCCCAAAAAAGGAAAAAAAAGCCTCTGCTTACCTTAGAAGCAGGGGAGGGGGGGGGCTCCAGGGCCTCCTGGCAGAGCCCCCCCACAGGCAGCACAGGGCAGTGGGGGTGCTCAGCAGGGCCCGGGCTGGGGCCAGTGGGGCTGTCACCCTGCCCGCATTGTGCAGGTGGGGCCCCAGTCAGCCAGATGGCAGCCAGACTGCAGGTAAGTGCCGGAGGTTTTTTTGTTTGTTTTTTGAAACTATGGGGTGGGAGGCAGGGATTGGAAGCCACGGGGAGGCTTGGGGAGATGGGGCCAGCCAGGAGGCAGGGGGGAGTCATGGAGGCAGGGGGAGCTATCGGGGTCCCCTTCCCCCTCCTCCAGCCCTCCCAACCCCTTACTCACCAGCACTGGAGCCCTGGTGCTGAAACACGCGGCCTGGCCAGCTGCGTGTTTCAGCACCAGGGTGAGGGGCCAACCACAGAGACACTCTGGCAGCCAGAGTGTCTCTGTGGAGGACCCAGCCTCTGACCCAGACCATGCCCTGCTCCACTTTTTTAAACTTTGATTTTTTTAGACCCCTGGATATCCAGGGGTCTAATTTTCTCCTCACGCTGCACATTTTTTCGTTCCTGCACGTGCCTCTTGCCCCGCCTCAAAGGGGTTTGAGGCGGGGCAAGATGCACTTGCATGCTCATCTGGATGGGCCCCATGAGTCTTTGACGTGTCACTTGAACACAAAGGCAATAAGCACCAAAAATACTTAGTGTATCATTAGTATTTACTCTTATTCCTCTTAACATTAAGATCAGGTATAGCCCCTATACATAATTCAATATTAAATATTAAGTGCTGACTGCCCTAACAAGATAGGTAAATGAACACTCTTTGGCATTACCAGTTTGAATTTAAAAATTACCTGGATTTCTATTTCACCAGCCAGCACCCACATCAAGGATATTTAAAAATAGCCCAGAAAGCTGTACATTGACATTTTGACATTTAGACAAAACTGGAGCGCTTCTGACTACAAGCCACTTGAAGAATACCCCCATCTTAAGATAGAACCTTTGTTTTATGGTTATTTTGTATAACTGGAGAAAACAACTTCACCCAATATACTACCCTAACAACCAACGCACAAGACAGCCTGTTCTTTTAGTTGAGGAGAAATAATGAGTTTCTCAGAAATTGTGATAAACTGACATATTGCAGTATTATTTTGACTAATAAATCAGCTGACTTGCAGGACCCTGGAACTATATAAAATAATTACATTTCTACAAGATGTTCTATGTGCCACTGTTATATGCAACCTCTAGAATTATTATAATTGTGGATTAGAGAAAAATAAAATTCATTATTGAGTGCATTTTCTTTCTGTATTTATACTAGTTTGCCTCTATTAGGATTTGTTTTGTTGACAGTCCCTTTCATTTCATGACTTACGCAATATCACCCACTTTCCTGACACTCCACTGATTTGCCTTCACTGTGTTCTGCATAACTTCAGTGCAAGAGCTATGCAGCAGTTAAGACACAGGGAACATCGGACACATCAGTTTCCCTGGCACGGATTCAGAAGTAATCCTGATAAGTTTCTAATATAATAAAAGGCTTTGTCTGTCTGTCTCCAATGCTTTACTCGCACAGGGCAGTGGGTGGCGACACTCCATCCCCATCCCCGCCTGCTTCTCCGCCCCGCCCCGGTCATTCTTGACAGACAACTGCCTAGTACCCTGAAGTAAACCTGAAATGCTCATCACCTTGGTGCTTTTACTTTCATACAGTTCACATACTGTTTACCACCTAGTAACACATTCTCTTTCACGTGCAGAATACAAAACCTCCTTTTCAAAGGAGCAAGATTGGCTAACTGTTACTTCTGACTCCTACAGATAAGCCTAGGGGCAGTGGAGTGGGGAAATGCAGGGGTAGAAGTTATATGCTTCAACCTTCTGAGTTCACCAAAAAAAACCGGTCAAGAGGCAGCCATGAGCACAGACAGAAAAAATGAGAAGGTGAAAGGTCAGGCATTGCTGACATCAGGTTTCTGACTTGCTCAATTTTCCCTGCGTATAGCCCCTTATAGAAAACAATTCAAAATAGCTACTTAAAATATTAAAACAGTATTGCCAACTGGCTGAGCAGTGGAAAATGTTAAAAGCAATTTATTAAGCATCACGTATAGACAACCACACGGCTACAGGTATTTTTCCTGAATTGTCAAAACACCGACATTCCAAGGACAATGAAGATCTGTTTTATGTCAAGTATTAAAGCAATGTTGATCTCTGGCTAATTCCTATTACTTTCTGTGGGATACGCAAGTACTCAAATTTTCAGACAGGGGGAGAGAAAGGAAGGAACTCACACTCACTCACTTTATTTAAGCACTTAAACTGAATTAAGCAGCCTAATTTTTAGACACCCAGACTTAAAGATTTTGGCTCAAGTCTAAAATATTAAGATACACACAGTACAGTAGTGTCTACTGCAATAGCTGTTGAAGGCAGATTATTACCTGGTAAATCCATTCTGCATAAGCTCTCTTTGAAGTTTCTGGTCTTGAGCAGCATATTCCTGAAGCTCAGATTCCACAGCAGGGGGAAGAATGTTTGGGATGAATTTAGAAAATAAAGCTGGTGCCATCTGAACCCACTCTGTTAGGAAAGGGAAAGTAATAGTAAAACAAAGAATAAAGCTCTTGAGAGTTTATTTTCTGATTTCATCTTTAAGAAACAACTACCAAAAGGTGAAGCAGGGTTCTTAAAAAACATTATATAAATGGTCAAAGATTTTGAATACAATTCACACACATTTCTGGCTAAGACCCTGAGCCTTGGCCAACAGGAGTCAATGCTATGTGGTCATCTAAACCTGTGCAAATAGCATGGGACCTATTTGCTTTTGCCCTTCTTCTTATGAAGTTATTTACAGGAGTGCAACAAGGCTGTAAAATGCCATTAATTCAGACTAGAAGTGATCCATACTCCTTTTGTGCAGAGAATCTCGCCTGTAATATTTACACAGCTTTAGGGGTCTATGATGCTAGTTAAATCTTACTAAAGATTTAACCTGGAAATCAGACGTAGCAAGACTCAATTTTCTGTAGAGGTAACCCAAGTAGATGGGCCATGTGTGGCCAGCTATGTGCATTACAAGAAGTAGTAGTGGCCAAAGTGAGACTGCCCAACTGCCACAATCTTTGTTTGCACTAGTAGGACCTCTCTACCATCATCTAAACTGGATTCTGTTTCTTACACAGAAGGTTGATTTAAATTAATCTTTATAATCCAAGATTTAGGGCCCTGCTCCTAACTGTGAGCTCGATGTCTCTGGATGATAGCAGGATATGCCACTGCACAGGTCTGCCAGTCTGACTCCTCCCCACAACAGAAATGCTATAATTCTCAATATTGCAATTTTCCAAGGCTCCAGGGTGAAATAGTGTGTTCATTATATAATTCTCAAGCATATCAGTTCAACTTCACAGTTAGCAGTTTTAGAAAAAGAGACAGAAGCTAGAACATTACTTTACAATGCAGCAACATCCGATGGCTATGATAACCTGGTCCATGCAGCAAAACAGGCCAGATTCTCTTTTGCCCAATGTTATATTCCATACATGAGTCAAAGGCTAGGACCAAAGAACTAATGACAGCTTTCTAATTCTCAAGCCACCTTGATCAAGCATTTGATGCAAATTATTTCACTTGTAACTTGAGACGCACTACTGAAAACTAGTACCAATCAACGCCGCACGGATGCACACACGCAAGCGCATCAGTGTGGTGCAAAATCTTCTTGCGTACAACATGCCACAGAATCACACACACACACCTTGTTTTGAAAGGCAGAAGAAAGGAGAAAAAAAAATTATTTGTAATAAAGTACCTGAGTAGCAATGTAACAGCAGGTAGGGAACCAGGCCTGCTCACTGTTCTGTTCCTTGCAAGTCTCTTGCAAATTTTACTTTTTTTTTTTTTTTTTTGCTGTTAACCAGCAAAAACTGCTCTTACTGTAATTTTAACTATAGGATCATAAAAAAGTAGGACTGGAAGGGATCTCACAAGATCATCTAGTCCACTGCTCAAGGCAGAATCATCCCTGACTAAATCATCCCAGCCAAGTGCCTGTCTAATCTGCTTTTGAAAGTTTCCAATCACGGAGAATCCACAACTTTAAAGTGGCCTTGTCCCAGTGCCTGATCACCAGGGATCCTATCCTGGTCTTCTCTGATAAAAAGGTGAATTCTCTGATAAAAACCCCCAAATCCATGATTAAAATGAAATGCCACTATATATATATAGGTATCAATTGAACACAATGTTTTATTGATATATTTACAATCTTAAAGCAATTTGGAAACCAACCAGTGCCTCAATCACTATAATAAAATAAATTCTAAAAACCTATAAGTTTTGGTATTTGATTTTGGGTTTTTCATCGTGGAAAAAAAAATCAGAGCTCCCCCTGCCCACTCCGCTCACCAGGATGCAGGTCTGGATCCCTCACTCCCAAGCCACCGCCCCCCAGCCCTGCTGCTGGTGCCCCTCACTGCTCACCCACAGCCTCCTGCCCCCGCAGTCCTGCCAGAGGGGGCCCCCAGCTGCCAGGACGGCAGCAGGGCAGGTAGCCCAAGCCTTAAGCAGGCAGCCTGTCCCTGCCCCATGCACAGAACTGGGGGGCACGTGCCAGCCTCGGGGGTGTGCACAGCAGCAGGGAGCCAGCCACCCACCAATCGAGCTGCCCACAGCCCCGTCCCACACCCCGCTGGAGCCCTGCAGCCACACATTCGAGCCCAGGCCCAAGCCCCACATGCCACCCCAGCTGGGCAGCAGCAGCAGCAGCCGCCGCCGCCTCAGCCCTGCCCAACTCCTTTCCTCCATCCCTATGGGGACCTCAAACCCCACCCCCCCACCAGAATCACCTGCGGGAGCTGCTCTCCATGCTGCCTGGTGGCCATTTATATGTGCATGCCTACATGCAAATTATTACAGGCACATTTATTTCAAATGTCAGTGTTTTAGGACCCTTGTGTTTAAAATTTGCCCCTCATTTCCACGTGGCCAGGGAGGGAAACAGATTCTGAGCAGGGTCTGACAGTAAGGGGGGAGAAGGGACTGCAGGCAACCCCCGCTTAATGCTGTTTTGCTTAGCACTATTTGGCTATAACCCTCGTTTTAAATTGGTACCCGATTTCACTTAGCAAGTTTTGCTAGAACACTTGCAGTCACCATATTGGGTCATCAAATTCTTTCAGTTTCGCTTACCACTCAGTTTTTCAGGAACCAATTAAGAGCGCTAAGGAGGGGTTGCCTGTACAAGGGAAGAAGCTGGGAGGCCAGAAGGCAAGGGGGCCACCTGATTCCCCCAGACACTACTTTCCCTGCTGTAGCAGTGGGAAGGGGAAAAATTCAAGACAAACCTCCAATAATTAGGTTCTATATCTGAAAAATGATAACAAACTTATACCTTTTCCATATATAGAATCAAATTATTGGGGGGTCATCTTGAATTCAGGATAGTCTTAGAATCAAGTAAATACAGTAATTCCTAACCTGGTCTGCCATTAAACTGTTTGTCTCCTTCCCTATCTCTGCTGTCAACTGCACATCAGCTGGTAGCTGCCCCTATTTGTGAAAACCAAAGTAAAAAAACGGCATTAAATACTTTAACCTTCTTTGTATCATCTATGATTAGATTGCTTTCCACAAGACCGCAGTTCTCAACCAGGGGTCTATGGCTTCCTGGGGGGCCATGAGCAGGTTTCAGGGAATCCGTGGGGACTGCTGATCTGGTGCAATCGTGATCTCTAAGGTCCACTGGGGCAGCTCACACCCAGGCTAAGCCTGCTGCCACCATCAGATTCATGGAAAAGATACAGATTTTTCTCCTTTATAAAAAGTCGTGGATTCTTCTTTAAAGGAGAAATTCACGGGAAACTGCAAGCTTCCCCTTGCTGGCTGCCAGTGTTCCAGCCTGCAAGTGTCTGCTTGGGCATGGGGGGAGTGAGAGGAGGCGCCATGTGCATGAATGCACGTGCACACATACACGTGGCACCAGGCAGCAGTAGAGAGCAGCTCCCCCAGCACTCCTCAGATAAGTTGCTGGGGAGGGCATAGGCAACACATCTGGGTGGTCTGGGATTCTCCAGGGGGGCATTTGCCTGCCTCCCCTCCCTCCATTTCTGTGTCCACAGTGGGCACGGGGCTGCAGCCTGGCTGGACCCAGCACAGGAGGGTAGAATGGGGCAGCAAGACTTGTTGCCGCAGCCGCCACCAGGGCCACCACACCAGCCACACTGCTAGCAATGGGAGGAATAACAGACTCTGGGAGGGGAGAAGGGCCATGCTGCCCTCACCTCCTCCCGCTGATGGAGGGAAGGTGGGCCAGGGGCAGCAGGGTGGCCTGAAGGAAGTGGCAGTGGCCGGACCATGTCCCCTCGCCATGGGTTGGGAGTGAGGGACACTGGCAGGGCCAGAGGGCTGCAGGATGGGAGTGAGGGGGTCCTCGAGTCCAAAAAGGTTGAGAACCACTGCTGTCAGATTCTATAGGTCTCTTGTCTTCCTCTTACTTTTGACATACCTATAGAATCCCTTTTATGTCCCTTGCCAACTGCATCATAAAATGTGCTTTGGCCTTCCTAATTTTCTCTTTGCATGCCATCTGATACTCTTGTACCCTTCCCTAGTACTATGATCAAATTTACACTTTCTATAGGATTCCTATGGAGTTTCAACTCTTGAAAAGACTGCTGTCTAGCCAGACTGGTCTCCTATTGCACTTCCTATTCTTTTGCCTCATTGAGATAGCTTGCTTCTGCATCTTTAAAAGATGTCCTTAAAAGTGCAGTCAGCTCTCCTGAACTCTCCACCCCACCCCAGACTTGCCTCCCAAGGGATCATGCCCTCCATGTCCCCGAGTTAACTTTTCTGAAATCCAGTGTCCTTACTCTGGTGCTCTCCTTCCTCCCTTCCTTCCTTCCCTTAGGATCATGAACTCTATCATCATGTGGTCACTGTTACCCAAATTACCTTCCACCTTCATATTCTAAACCAATTCCTCCCTGTTTATGAGCAGTAAGTCAAGAAGAACTTCCCCCCTCATTGGCATCTCTACCATTTGAATAAAAAAATTATCCCAAACATACCCCAAGAACTTGCTGGACTGCTTGTGCACTTTGTTTCCCTCCCATTAGACATCCCAATAACTGAAGTGCCCCATGAGAAGTCCTGCAATTCAGAAGCTCCCCTCTGAACTTTACCCAGAGGCTTTCAATTGACATACCTGCTACTTCATACCGCACCTCTGAACGCATGCCCTTATATACAGGGCAACACCACCTCATTTTTTCCTCTGCCTATCTTTCCTGAACAAGAGTGTATTCCAATCATGAGAACTATCCCACTACATTTCCACAATCCCATCATAATTCTGTGACTGTACTTGGACCTCCAATTCTTCCCCTTTCTCCCCCCTACTTCTTACTGAACAAGTTAGGCTAAACTGTATTTCTTTATACAAGTTCTATTGACAAGCTCTTTTGTGCCATTGCAACAGTGGCATGGAATAGCTGACATGGAAATAGTTTACAGGCTTAAAAAATAAATCCTCTAATGAAAGCATTTAATAAAAAACAGATTAGTACTCCAGTTCT